CCGCCGCCACTGACAGTGAGACAGTCAGCCCTAGCCCCCAATTTGACTGATCACTGATGGGCGAACAAACCCAAATCCAACCTCAATCACAACCAGTCCAATCAGAATCCCAGGCTCTCCCCCAAATCGAAGCCCAGGTCCAAACTCAATCACTGTCTCAGCCATTCAATGGCCCTACCACCACCACAACCTCGGAATTAACCACTGTTCCACCACCAATCACATCTCCTCCCGCCAAAATCCCTTCCCGTCCTCGTAAAATCCGTAAAGTCTTACCCAGTGCTGATGCCACCACCGCTGACGACCCTAATTCTTCCCCAACCTCCACCACTACCACAACTGAAACACCCAAAACCCCTGCCATCAAAACCCCAAGAACAAAAACGTCCCAACAGCTAGTAATCGCCACTCCGCGGATCGTGGCAAGATCTCTAACATGTGAAGGTGAGCTTGAATACGCAATTCACTATCTCCGTAACGCCGATCCACTCCTTGCTTCCTTAATTGACATCTACCAGCCTCCTAGCTTTGATGCGTTCCCCACTCCTTTCCTTGCTCTCGCTCGCAGCGTTCTTTACCAGCAACTTGCTTTTAAAGCAGGGTCTTCAATTTACACGCGCTTTATTTCGCTTTGTGGTGGAGAGGCTGGAGTTTTACCTGAAACAGTTCTTGCTTTGTCTCCACAACAGTTGAGGCAAATTGGGGTTTCTGGGCGTAAAGCGAGTTACCTTCATGATCTTGCTAGAAAGTATCAAAATGGTATTTTATCGGATTCTGCGATTGTGCATATGGATGATAAATCGCTTTTTACAATGCTTACTATGGTAAATGGGATTGGTTCATGGTCAGTGCATATGTTTATGATTTTCTCGCTGCATAGACCGGATGTGCTGCCAATTAATGATCTTCAAGTGAGGAAAGGGGTGCAGTTGCTTTATAATTTGCCGGAGTTGCCACGCCCATCACAGATGGATCAGTTGTGTGAAAATGGAGGCCGTATAGGTCGGTTGCGTCATGGTATCTTTGGAGATTACAAGAGTCAAAAGGGTTACCTTCGAGTGTGATAGCAGTGTCTACTAGTGGTAATTTGACACAGCAACAGCAGGAAGAACAGCAGCAGCCTCAGCTTATTAACCCACTAAACAGCATTCTCAATCTTGGGTATTTCCACGTTCAGTTTTGTTGCATGGCAAATTTGATTCATCTAACTTTCATGTTCTGCGTTGCTATTAGGTTGTTCCCGTGCTTCTCTTCTCTTCTTTCTCGATTCGTTGTTTATTTTACCCGGTTGAAGTGCTTATGTTGGGGGTGTGTCTTAGGGCTGTGATTCGAAACTTGAAACATTTGTTCTATTTTCCAAAAGCTTTGCATCACAAGTCTTGTTGGACTTAAATTTTATGGAGAAAGGGATGGATAGACCGAAGTTGTTAAAATAGGGATCCTGACTGCACCGTGAACATGGAGGAGGGGTTTTGTTAGTATTGAATGTGGGCTTATAAGATTATCTAAACTAGAGAAATAAACAATTAGTCTTATAGATACACCGCACATTAACATATCCTTAGTTTTAGCATTTTAGGCCTAAATGCGGGTAAACTTTGTGCCTCCAGAAAATGGCTGTGCAAAATTGCGTAAAATATGTAGCAAGGACTGAAACATAGAACAGTTTAGAAAGTGAAGACGGAGTTGAATTAGTGGGAGACTAGTTGGAAAAGAAAGAAGGGCAATTAGTGGAAATAATAAATAGAATATGCAGGGGGCTCCCAATAGTTTGTTAAACACTCTGCAAAATATCTTATCTTGCGTTGGACATAGCACATCAATCACATATTAAACATTGATAAGAGAATGCAACTCTAACCTGCCAAACCTGTCTACTGTAATTAATAACTGAATCTGTCAGGCATGGACAATCATTATCATGCCTATTATTTTTTGGCTTTAAGTATTATGAGATTGCCGAGATGTACAGTGTTCCCTTGTTAAGTTTGTATTGTAGCTCTCTAGTTGAAGTTGAAAGAAATATAATATTCGGTGATGTACCTGTCTAATATTACGGTCAAAACATTTCAAGTGATATAGGTTTAACATAAAAATTCATTCAGTTTCTTTCGAAATGGAAAGCTTGCTGTTCTGGAAACTAGAATGTAACACTTCCTCTTCACCTTACTTTTCATGTTTTACTTTGCTTCGTTTGTTAAAAATCTCAAGTTCAGCCCTGCTCTCGATGATATGATCGAAAATGACTGTACTGTTGGTTATATTTTGGGATTCTGCCTGTATTTTCCACCATTTATTTTCTATGCCTTGGAAAATGACTGCTTTTGTAGTTACTGTAAAACCTGAGGCTGTAGTTCTTTTACATTGTAGATGTTATATTCAACGATCACTGCCATGAATGCCTACTATTGATAAAGCTTGTGAATATCATTGTTGACATGAATGTTGTACTATTGATAAAGCTTGGGAATATCATTGTTTGCTCAAACCAATGCCAAAGTGTGCCTATCATTATATGCTTCCCAGTTTGTTCATGACAGGTTTGATTTTATTTTCAGAGCTGTTGTTAGACCTTGTGGCATTTGTAAATTTGGAACCTGAGATTGAGAGTTGAGACTTCCTTTTTCTTTATAAGTGGATCTATTTGAGGCATAGCAGAAAAGTTCACGCACCTAGTAATGGCATATAGTTATTTGCAGTCTAGTCAATAGTGTGGAATACTCCATGTTCAAACATTCCTTGTTATGGGATCTTGTCAGGGCAATACACTATTTTTCCCGCTTGCATTCCTTTGTGTTATTTTCTTAACTACCTTAAAAGATTAACATCTTTAATTTATCTAGGCTTGAGTTTATTTTAACTCGGGTTTTTAGGTGTCCCTTTTCAGTTTTATTGCCAATGCTGTGATTAAATTAGGTGATGCTTTTCATGCTTTATAGTTTCCTCTTGTTGAAAGTTTAATTTCATATTTTTTCCAAACTACAGAAGAGATGTTTCTGGTTGATTGATTTAATGGAATTGGAAAACTGATCTTGCTGCCCGCTAGACACCCCACCCAACTGTGATGAGATGGTCGATGGACTCCTCTTGAATCACCTAACGTGGCGGGCACTTGATTTCACAAGGACCCTGGTTAGCTGGGATACAAACCGTGGTTGGCAGGGTCTGAATAATTTAATTTGCTGAGCAGAACAGAATACTACGTTTTTTTGTAGAATTTAAATTGCTGTACTTTGGAATACACATTCGTGTTTCACATGGCTTTTTGACATCGTTTCCTTTCTTTTGCCATCATGATTCAGGGCCTGTGCCTGGGGACAATGATTGGGACCTAGGATGAGGAGTTATTCTTCTATCCAGCAATCATTTGAGATGCTTCCAGAGCTGTGCAATAAACATAGACATCACTAATGAAAAACCTGGACATCCAAGACATCAAGAGATATTTGTACTTGCCTCTTGCTTTGAAAAATAAATAACACTAGATGCGGTCAAGCTCTGTTGCCTTTGTAAAAGATTGGATTGACACCAGAACTTTCTTATAGGACATCGTAGGGTTAGAAGAGCTTTCAGTGTTTTTGCCTCTTTGACTGTGGCTGGCTATTTGTATCCTGGAAATACAATTAGAACCTTCATCTGTAGAGGCAATTGCTCTTATTAATAGACTATGACAATCTGACAGTGTACATAGAAATCCGGGACAAGGTTTTATATGTCCAGGGTATTAAATGAATCAGATTGCAGAGTTGCATCAGTTAAATTGCCCACAGGAGCTATCAGAGCGTAGCGTTTTCAAAGACTTCCAGAGCACAATCCTTCTCTCCTGCGCAGGTTTTGCTGGAGGTTGATAATGTCAGCGAGGCTCTAATCTGTCGTAGACAAGTCACCCCGTTGCCCAAAATTTCCTGCTCCTACCATCTGAATCTATACTCTCTGATGGAGACATGAATTTTTTTAATTACGGCCTGTTTGTTGGGAAAGTAAATTGTTTTTTATTGTTTATCAGGTTCATGCAAAATGATTTCCTGGAAAGTATAATAAAAGTAGAAAATTATTTGTACCTATCACATAAAAAATAAAAAATATTTATTTATTTATTTAAAGTTATTTTTCCAAGCGAGTATCAAAGATGTTGGAGAAACATAAACAGCCAGACCAGGAACAAAGGCCGTTTATAGTTACATTGGAAGATAACATCTGCAGCCAACCTGGCAACGAAAGGATTTTAACTTGCCAGAGTGAAGAAAGACCGTTAGTAAACTGTGCATCAAAAACAAGGATATTGTCACTTACTTATGCAGGCATGGATCAAATCAGAATCTTTCCACGGGAATTTCTTGTAATAATCGACAACAAAACCTGATAACGTTATCCAAACGAATATATTGTTTTTTTTTAATAATTCCATACTGTACTAGTTAACATAAATAGATTATTGTTACAATTTGCCAACTAATTTTTTATTTGTTTATTCTTAGTGAAGGAATATTCGCCGAACTTACTGTTAGTATCTCATGCAATTCTTTCCACACATTTAAAGTCTAAAACTTCCCCACGCGAGAAGAATTTGTCTCTACCCTCACATGGCTGTAAGCCTCGGATTGACGGTTGTTGGGCCTTCGATTCATTTGTTTGTCGATCCTTCTTCAGAACTTTGCTTTTGTATCTTCCAATTTGTTTTCAGGCAGCATGGCATGGACAATTAAACATGAGGACAAGACCAAAGACGGCTAAGAGATGCTGGGATATGCCACTTCATCTCTGCATGGAGGATAGTAAACAATATATAGACATGGAAAAAGGGACTTACAATGCGCATGATGGCACAGCAAGTAGGATATTCTCGACGAATATCTGCTACATTTTGCATCTTGTTCTAGTTTTCTTCAATGGCAAAAAGACTGCCCATCTTTATCCTCTTATTGAATTCGCTTGTTCTTATTATAAAATAGCCCAAGAAAGTTGTTGCTCATCACAACATGCACACCTGAAAAAACAACATGAACTACGAGAATTATGACCCTTCTTTCCCTGATCAACCTGTGGTCGATCTCTACCTCCCAGTATGGGCTAACCTACCATCCTTTCGGTCCAAGCCAGCCTTCATTTGGGCTGAAGATGGCTCAAATGGTGCAACCAAGAATTCAAGCATCACTTATGCTCAGCTCAATGAATCAGTTCACTCAATTTCTACCCAGTTACTTACTCAATTGCAAAGAGGTGACGCTGTCGTGATTTTATGCTCACCTGGGTTAGAGCTTGTTGAGATCATCTTTGGGTGCCAAAGAGCTGGCCTTTTGTCCATCCCTGTGTTCCCACCAGACCCTTCTTTCACTAAAGAAAACTATCACCATCTTGTTAGAGTTCTGTCCCAGACAAAGCCCAAAGCTGCCATAGCGCACCATGATTACATTGCCAGAGTTCAACACTACATCTCCCTGTCCTCTGACAATCATAAGCTTGCAGAGATGTTGCAAAAGCTCACCTGGATCTCCACTTCTGATATCAAAGACAAGAAAGTGAGTTCAAATATGGGCTCATTGCCTTATAATGGCTGCAGACCAAATGAATTGTACTTAATCCAATACACTTCAGGTGCTACAGGGATTCCAAAACCTGTGCTGGTAACAGCAGGAGCAGCTGCTCACAATGTGAGAGTAGCCAGGAAAGCCTACGATCTCTATCCGAACAGTGTTATTGTCTCTTGGTTGCCTCAGTACCATGACTGTGGCCTGCAGTTTTTGTTATTGACTATCATATCTGGTGCAACGAGTGTGCTAACATCACCTGGCGCCTTTGTGAACCGGCCTGGGCTATGGCTTGAGCTGATTTCAAAGTTCCAAGCCACTTGCACTCCAGTTCCATCATTCTCATTACCACTTGTTATAAAGCGTGGTGGGGTTGATAAAGGAACTCAGCCTGTAAGTTTATGGAGTTTGAAAAACTTAATCATCATCAATGAGCCTATTTACAAAGCATCGGTTGACAGGTTCGTCGAAATGTTTAAGCCTTTTGGGCTAAACCCATCATGCATTTCTCCATCTTATGGCTTGGCAGAAAACGGCACCTTTGTTTCAACAGCATGGAGAGGCAACTGCAGCAATGCTGCTAGCTTTCCACACATCCCATCACACAACAAGCTCTTGCCATGTGCAAGGCTTGCTTCTCAAAGTGAAGAAGAAGAGGACATGGACATTATAGTTGTAGACGAAGAAACTTGCGAACTTGTTGTGGATGGAACGGAAGGTGAGATTTGGGTCTCATCTCCAAGCAACTGCTCAGGTTACCTTGGCCACCCATCTTTAACTCGAGAGATATTTCAAGCAAGACCAAGGAACAAGGTGAGCCGGTGCTTTGTCCGCACAGGCGATAGAGGAATCATCAAAGGAGAAGAAAGGTTTCTCTACGTGACCGGTCGGTGTTCAGATGTTATCAAACTCCCAAACAATCAAGAAATACACCCTCATTTCATAGAGACAGCTGCTCAGAATAGTTGTCAAAAGTTTCTCAGAGGAGGTTGCCTTGCTGCATTTGAGATGTCAAGCACTATTGTTCTTGTTGCAGAGATTCAAAGACACGGAAAGGATGTTAAGGTATTGAAACAAATCTGTGAGTGGGCCAAGAAAGCTGTTCTGAAGGAAGAGAATGTTGAAATTGGCTTGATGGTTCTAGTTAAGAGCGGAAGTGTTCCGAAAACAACTTCAGGGAAGATTCAAAGATGGGCTGCCAAGGATATGCTGATGAGAGGCAAAATGAGTGTGGTAATGGAGACGCAGTTCGAGGACAGCAATGCAAGATTCTTGACATCGTACGAGGCAATAGGTAAAGCAAATAAAGAGATCAGATGTCAAGGGGGAAACAGAACAAGTACTGTTGCTGAAGATAGAGATCTAGAAATCTCCCTAGCATTTTCAAGCACTCGAAGGCGTCCCCCATTGCGTTCTCTTCTGTGAGAAAAATATATTGTGGATGCTTGTCTTTGAATAAGCTAGCGAGTTTGTGCTAAATCTTTCGTTTAACCAGGTTCCGAAGCAATTTGTTTTTCAAGTCACCATGACTTGTGGATTCATCAATGCTTTATTAAAAAAGTCTATGCAATGTGGAGCTACATTACATCACATAAACTTAGAATTTAACAAGATTTTCCCAGGAAAAAAGAATGAGAATTTCGGCTTGGGCTTTTAGGTTAGGTTTAGAGTGAAAATGCCCGCGGCCAAAGATCTGGTAAGGCCCTTTCCTTTCCTGCTTGCTTCGAGCTTGTCCATTCACCCAGGTCCATAAGCAACGACAGTAACAATTATCAAGAGCTGATCACATAGTAGTCAAACGTGAATGTGATCCGAATAAAGATGTGGCTCATGGGTTATTGAATCAACTGCAAAATCATCAAAAATGTTTTTTTTTTAAATTTCTTGTTGTTGGCCCTATTGAATTCAGAAGATTTTACTAGGTTAATTGTTTTTTTGAAAAAAATTCATTTTTGCTAACTTTTTTGGACTTTAACCGGATTTAATTGGATAAACAGGACAATTAAAAAATCATGTTGGATTAATTAGATTTCAACAAATTATTTTTTTTTTAGCTCGATTTAAAAGCTGGCATGGATCAAGTTTTAATTCTTGCATTTCTCAAGTCAGCTCATGCAATCAAAAGGGTTTTAATAACTTTGTTCAAGGTTACACAAAAAAATAAATTTCGGTAGAGCTTTTTTTTATATAACGAATCTAGCAATAAATGGCTTAACCAAGACATGACCTAATTAATCAGTCACTTTAAAAAATAGTATTTTCAAATAATCTTTGGTGATCAAATTCAACTACAAAAACTACATGCAAGGATTATTTTCTTCTCTATAGCGTGATATTATTATTATCATTAAAAAAACTCGTTTTTTATATAAAAAATGGAATCCAATGTCGAATCAGTGATACTTATATCATGTATGATTTTACCTAAAATCGGTAAAACTTCATCAAATCGGTCCATCAATCTACAAGCACATTTAATGACTTCTAGTGAACCTAGCTAGCTCTAACATTCTATTCCAAGCCTCCATCGGTTCCATGCCCAGGATGCTGCATCCCCGGGAGGAGCAGCTCGATCCATTAGTCCGCCTCTAGCTCCCCGAACCCATCCGACTGGTTGTCTCAACGCAGAATATAATACCAGTGAACGAAAAAGTAACACAGATCAAGATAAAATCTGAACATTTCGAAGAGATTTTATTTCCTTGCAAAAATATGACACGAATTGTTGAATGTATCATTCACGGTTGCCAGTGAGTAATGGATGTAATCCCTGGAAATGAACTTTGTTTACGAACAATTAAACTACAAATAATGTAATTAAGAATCTTATAAAGAATTAAATCCTAACTCAGAGCAAACACAAACGGCATGCTTAATACATGCAAGCAAGATGAAAAGCGATGGACGCATAAGAACTTGTTTTGGGAAGGGAAACAGGGGCATCGTTTTACTTGGAATATTTTCTTAATGTATCAAGAAAGATATTGGTGAATATATATAAAAATATACCTAATCTCTCAATAGATGGTAGAATTAATTGCTTTGATCTTTGGATATCAGAGTTATTTCGATTTCAGAATATGTAGTTTAATCTATACACCTAAAGGCAATGACTAGATTTAGTAAAAGCTAATTCCAACTTCAACAGCAATTCCAAACCAATGTTTCCGTTTATGGTTGAAATGTGAGAGAAAAAATCAAATCTTGAGTGAAAAATCACACTTCTGGGTGTTTGATAATCCTCTTAAACACATGGTTTTGGTAAGAGAAAACATTCAAACCATGATTTTGAAAAAAATAAACTAAAATTTCATGTTTTTTTCCCTTCCAAAATCATGGGTTAGATGCAAATCATGAATTTGAATACAAGCGACAGCCTTATTATAGCAAAGGAATCACGCCCTTGATGGGGTTAGAAAAGAAATAAGAGCCCAACCTTAGACTTCTTTATATTTATCTACTTGTTGATATGCTTACTTCTTTCGGCCAAGAATTTCTCACATCGTATATCGAACCTTGAACCACTTGTCTTAAAGTAAACATTTTCTAAATCAGGCACGGGAGAAGTTCAATCTCGAATCCATGTTTTGTTTGAAAGCTTTTACTCATCGATAAACACATTAACAAATCACTCACGTAGTCGGTGAGCCATTGCTAGTGGAAGGAGCACCATGATCACAGCATTAATGGACTGCCACAAGTACCGTGGTGGGCAAAAGTATCTGAGTGTATGCATGATGCTTTAGCCTGCCACACCCCAAATCTTGAATGCTGCAATGCGCATGCCAAATTAAGCTGCCTAAGCTAAAATGTCGAGAGATATTGAGATTAAAGCTCTCGAAATGGAATAGATGAAAAGAAAATTAAAAATTCTCCTATGTTCCCTAGAGTTTCATACCGGCTGTGATATTCAAACTTCGAAATTGCAGTGGAGATTAACAGGACTAAGGCCTAGAACGAACATGTGCTATGCATCTGAAGAAAGAAAGAAAGAGGCGGGGGGAAAAGATTCCGAGTTGGATCATGCTAATCGAAATAAAAAAAAAAATGTATAAAGCTCCCGGCTCCTGACTCTAGCTTTCGGGATTCTATTGGTGGAAGCTGTATTGCAACAAAAAATGAACATGAACAGGTAGAGAGGGCTATGTAGCAAGCAAATAGGCAGTACCAAAGCAAAAGATGTTGAAAGAGAGGGACAAATGAAGCCATCGATTGCATCACAGAAAGGTAAAGACATTGCTTGGGGCAAGCGTGGTGTTGCAGGGAGGCTTGCGATTCAAAAACAGAATGCCTACCTTAGCCATTGGTCATGCTTGAGAGTTGAGATTGAGAGAATCATTCTGCTCTACATTACACGACAACACCATTACTGTGGACCGTTCCCATGCAGGTTTTTTTCACTTTTTACCCCCCCGGCCCCCCCTCCTTCTCTCATTTAATGCAGCTCTTTCCCCCTTTATTTGTATAAAAATTATCATTAAACTTTAAGCATTTATATAACAGAATCTTTAGTTATTCTTGGGCAATCTTAAATATATTATCCATGTCCAAACTATAACATTTACAGAAATTTTGTTTCAAATAGCTTCCTTAATTAGATGCTACAAATCTAAGTAAGCATGTGTTTGTAATATGATAATTTTGTGTGGTTGCGGAATGAAAAAAAATATAATAAAATGTGGTTGTTAAGGGATGAGCATTCGTTTTTGTGCTGTAAAAGTGCATTTAGCTTTAAAAAACATTAAATTTGATGTTTTTTTAATATTTTAATGTGATTTTAGAATTAGACAATTGTTTATTTTTTTATAAGAATATTTTAAATATAAATTATATCCAATCATATATATTTAATAAAATTAAATATTTATATACGGTTTGCTAGCTTGTCAAATTACAAGTCTTCAATATTATGTCTAAAATAATAAATTTAAAAAATTATTTATATATATTTTTAAATAAAAAATACTTTTAAAAAACAATTGCTATAAATTATAGTGAACATTAACTAAATATTTTTAAGCATATAATAAAAATAAAATACAATTTCAACCGGGGATATATTATAACACAAACCCTAACACTGTAACAAAATATAGAGCTAGCCTGTAAAAGTATGAGTTTGATCATGAAACTAATTACAGGGTGATGCAATGTCAAGGGTGGTTTTAGACTAAAAAGCACAGTGGCGAATATATATAAAGTTAGCCAGGTCGCATAAAGGGCGAGGAAGGATACACCGTATGCATCTGTATGGTTATTTAGGGGGTCAGGCTGGGTTAAAGATAAGAAATGGAAAGGAAGGCAATAATGAAGGGGTGAAGTGGGACCCAGTGTGGCAGGGCGTGGGAGAGGGATGAACATGACGTTGTCGGTTGTTTTGTGCAGAGAAAGGGAGGGCTCTTAATCTCATCACCATCTCCTCACAAAGTTTATCTACCCTCTCTGGCTTCATCACAAGCAACCAAGCTGTCTCTTGTTGGATATGTAGTTGGCCTGTTGGAAGCCCAGAAGCACAGTCCTTGCTCCCATGCTCTAAAGCTTAAAAACACCACACAAACCCTCTCTATTTTACATCTTTCCCCTGCTAATTCTTTTGTGGTTTCTGCATACTTGAAAACATTAGCTAGAGAGAGGGAGAGAGATGTCAAAGACTTGATGATGGTAATAAAGCCTGTGGTGCTGGTACTGCTAGCTGTTGCCTCTCTCTCTCTCTCTCTCTCTCCTGGAACTGTGAGTTTTGTCCCATTTAACGTTCAATTTCCTTTTTGTTCTTAAGATCTTCTTTCTTCGTTTTATTGCCTCTCTTCCATCTTATCTTTTGGAACAACTGAGGATGGAGCAAGTTCTTGAATTTAGCTTAGGGCATTTCGTACGTATTTAAGCTTCTGCTATGATTTTTGTTTTTGAAGTGCTTCTTCTCCTTCACTGTTAGGCATAAAATCTTGGAGGGCTCCAAGATTCGAAGTTCCAATATTGTTATATCAAAAAAAAAAAAATCCGAAAGCTTAAGATTTTCTTTTCAAAAAACAAAAAAGATTATAGTGCTGCGTTTAAGAAGGCTAGGCGTGGTGCAAAAATCATGGAGATGAGAGGTCTAGAAAATGATATAAGAACGTCAGTCCCTTCAAGTTACAGTCATCAATCGTCAGGGCTAGAAGGAAGAAATGGGAACCACAATGGCACCACTGTCCTTACTTACACTCAAACCCTAGATCACCAACGCCAACCATCAAGATCTCCAAACCCAGATCGACTTGCAATCATCTCAAGCGGACCCAACTCCAAAACATCCAATACAAGGTACCGCGAATGTCTCAGAAACCACGCGGCCAACGTAGGCGGCAGCGTTTATGATGGCTGTGGTGAGTTCATGCCAGGGGGAGAAGAAGGAAGTTTAGAGGCGCTCAAATGTGCTGCTTGTGAGT